GTATTTATACAGTATATATTGTCTGAATGTTTGGTGTGATTATCGTACACAAATTGTGAATACTGTGCGAGTGGCTTATAATAACGCTATAAGATTGGTCTTTAGCCTTAAACGGGCTAGCAGCGCCAGTGGTAATTGCGTGAGTAGAAATATTTTCAACTTTGAATCTCTTCAGCGCAAGGCATTATATAACTTCAGTCAGCGTCTACTTACGAGCGATAATGCTTTAATTCGTACTTGTGTCAACTCTGACAGTTTTTTCTTATCCAAATTTTGGACTAATCTTAGACGTTGTATTTATTAATGTTCGTGTTTGTTATGTATTTAATATGGGACTTTTTTGGCCTGAAATAAAGGATTAATAATAATAATAATAAGAATAGAATAGAATGGAATGGAATGAATTGAAAGGAATGGAATGAAAATGAATAGAATGAAATAGAATGAATTAGAATGATTTGAAATGGAATGTAACAGAACTGTTTTGTAATGAAATGATTATTCATCACAGTATGCCAGATGTTTTGCTTTGCTTGAAAAGTAAAGGCGAAATAATGCTACCTTGCTGAACATCATTTCCAACAGAAAACAAAGTAGAATTTCCCCAATGGACAGTGAACAGTTATTATAGTACTTGCGGACGAGGGCACCAGCAGGCCAAAAAGAAGCATCAAGCAGCTTTTGTAAATACAAGTTAAATTTTGTATTCAAGTGTTCACACTTTACTTTAATGTTCAGTTTATTATTAATGTAACTTTCAACTATTTGCGCAGTGATATCAGGTCTACTCACAAATACAAGCGATGATCGAGTCCCATTCACAACTTTCAGCCAGTAGTTATTGGCATTATTAGATCCAATGATAGGTAATTTTACTATTCGCACAATAGTCCACAATAGTCGCACAAGTCCGCAAGTCTTTCTGCGGCGCTAACTAGGTCACTTTCATAAGGCCACACCAACTTAATTTTATGGATGAAATCCGCACACGCGCATTAGTTTCCGCCTGTTCACATTGAAGTCAACAAAACTGCAACGAAAGCAGAGGAAGCTCCTCGGCCGAAGTCCGAAGAAGTGAAGAAAATGTTCTTATTTTTTTTTTCATTTTCTGATTCGAATAATTTGCTTGCACACACAGTGCAATGTTTTATTACTTATTGTCATAATGTAGTGATATGTACATTCCGCCTTGACTTGTACTGAAAATGGTGTTCATGCTGTACCTTGAATGCAGTGTTTCTCACTGAAGGTACTTCATCATGACTACATGTACTAGAGCTTGTCTGAAATGGTTATACCTGTGACAGTAATACAGTACAAGATGTGTACATCAACATGTGCCTCCTACAAATAAAGACTTTTTTTTTTTTTTTTTGATACACTCTGTTCTTTGGTTCAATTTATAATACCAGCCCCGTAGTCCTGTGGTTTTAGCAGGATTTTTTTTTTGGCACAATTTTTTTTTCTTCTCCCTCTCGCATTAGTTTTGGAGTCTCCAGAGGATGTCATCCATACAATTAAATCAGTGTGGCCTAATCTGTAATTTTCTGTTGCCATGAAACGTCACAAGTGATTGTGCTGACAGAAATGTTGCTTTGTATGTCATCCAATGTTTCACTCAACCAAATGTGAGCACTGTTCATAGTGATAGCACAGAATAAGCAAAATATGCTAATATATCTACTATCAAATACCTTTGACATTTATAACCTTGAAATACACATTAGCATTAAAGAATGGTGGTCGTAGTAGCCATATACATTCAAACATGTATGAATAGACCATTTTCCGCTCACTGCGACAATCGTGCGTTATGTGTGAAATCGAACGTAAAAACGTCAAACATCGCATAGGATTCGACAAACACGAAAATATTTTGGGGGGCATTTCCATGCTCAATAATGTGTTGTATACATTTGATGATAGACAATTTCGATTAAGTAAGGGTATTCGAAAGCAATATTCCACTGTCGAAGAACGGCCGGTCGATGTGAGCTACGAAATAAAGAAATTTGAGTTCAAAATCAAATCGTTCGATTTTTGCGGCAGACATTCGACGTGCGTCTTTCATGCATCTCGCGAGATCTCACATTTTAATGGAAAATTACCTATTGTGTAAAAACTCATCAACTCAATTCAAGAAACAAGGATATTACTACTGTATATGACTTCTGCTATATTTACAATTATATGATTGTTTTTAGTCAAGAGGATCAAGTACAGATTTCGCTATGATCCTGAATTTGAAATACCCATTTATACTTTTACAATTGATACTAAATTAAAGTCACTGTCCCTTTAATCAAGTTCTACTTGATAGTATGCTTACCTCTTCTTTCATACTGGAGTTAGCCACTTCAAAATCCCTAACCCTAGCCTGTAAGTTAGTAACTGTTGCGTTAAGATGTCTGTTTAATTCTTCTACATAATTCTTCTGATCTAGTAAGGCAGTCATGTTACTCTGACCAGTGGCCGTATCTCTGGATTTGAAAAAACAAAAACAACAACAACATTTTTACACAGTACAAGAAAAAGGTAAAAACAGCACTTGTTATTTGAGAAGTTTTTTTTTAAATATTTTGGGTACTCAAACTAATTTTTAAATTACAAGTGTATGAACCTCAGTTGCATGTATTTGGACAAATTTTGAATTCAAAGTGTTGAAATCAAAAAGGTAGTGTTTCCATGGACAGTTCACAGTTCATTCACAGTTTTCCATCAATTAGATACATATTTTCTGTATTTTAGCTAGTGGGACACATCCAAACAGGACACTATTATCACAGGCTGATAAGTCTGAAGACTTATTCTTACTATAAGATTATTCAAGCATGCACTGTGAAATACTTTATTTCAGCTGGAATTATTTTGTGCTGAAAAGACATTTTGGTTGTTTTGTATAGAATTTAATTATTTTCAATGATTTTTGGCAAGATGAATATAAAATATGGGGAATCATCTGAAAATAGCTAGTATAAATAAAATATTCTACAGTACCCGGTATATGTTTTGATGACATGGATGTTAACTAATAATTGTTTCTACTGAAAATGACTTGAAATGGGAACGGGGATCTACCATGTCATGATCCATTTTGATTCAGAATTTTACTTTTCAAATATACACATGCACTTTCCAATATTTTCAGAATTTATGCAACGTAAGAAAATCTCCACTGCTAACACCTAAATGTTACTCATACCGGTAATATGACCAGTTTGTAAACCTACCCAGAAATTCCATCCGGCTTTTCAAGATAATTTCCATCTTTCAAATATGTACTAAAGTCAATAACGGGAATGTAATTATCCAAATCCTCTTCTTTTATGAATAAATTACAATCAATGACATTTAATCCAACTAATAACCCAGATATAACCATCGATTCCTCTTCCATCATCAAGGCAGTCCCATCGTAATAGTCACTGAAAATAAAATTACGTCACAATTACAACAAGTAGCCTATCCGCTGAGATATCTCCGCTGTTAGCAATGCACATTTCAATTAAGAACTGAAGATATCATTAGAAAATGAACAATATGTATCAAAGCAATCAGACTTGTGGTTTTAAACAAGAAGTCGAAAATATTTTTTTTTTAACAAAAATGACAAAAATAATCATCAAAATTAGAGAATTAAAGATATCATCATGAAATGAACAAATCTGAGATAGGTCCACATATAGTACCTATGCCGTTTTTTTACAAGAAATCAAAAATATCACTTTTTACCAAAAATGACAAAAATATTCATCAAAATTGGAGAATTTCATCAAGAAATGAACAAATCTGAGAGAACTCCACATGTAGTACCTATATATGTAATATCAAAGCAATCCGACTTGTGGTTTTAAACAAGAAGTTGAAAATATCTTTTTTTTACCAAAAATGACAAAAATAATCATCAAAATTAGAGAATTAAAGATATCATCTCGAAATGAACAAATCTCAGAGAGGTCCACATATAGTACCTATATATGTAATATCAAAGTAATCAGACTTGGGTTTTTTTACAAGTCAAAAATATCACTTTTTACCAAAAATGACAAAAATATTCACCAAAAATAAAGAATTTGAGATATTGACATAAAATTAACAAATCTGAAAAAGAACCATCTAAGGTACTTGCATATCAAAAAACATTCTGACTTGTGGTTTCGAAGAAGAAGTTGAAATTGTAAAGTTGACGACGGGGGACGACGATGGACAATCAATAATATGAACAGCTCCGCTGTGCCAACTTTGTTGACAGCGGAGCTAATAAAAACAGTTGCAATTCTTTTCTTCACAGGATTTTGTGAAATTTTTTTTTTTTTTTAATTTATTTCCCAATCACTTTTTTAGCGATCATCTTGTCTGCAGTTTATTGATAATGTACAAAAAATAATCCCATAAAATGTTCACTTAGTTCGACGTAAGCAGACCAGAGTATACAGGACCGGTCACTGGTAGCATAGTGGTTGTCGCATCAGACTCATGATCGGTAGACCCAAGTTCAAATCCTACCTTAGACTGAACATCAAAAGGGTTGACCCCTACCCTGGGTGAGTGTGCTCAATGGGAAAGCCAATTCCACTGGCCAAGATTCATTCACTAACGAATGCAACTTTGTGGTAACCTTGGTTAAGGTTTGCAGGTGCCTGTGTTCGACCGAGCCTGGTTGACTTCTGTGGCAAAATGCACTAGTCAGCACTAGCACTTGCAATTTGCACTTACAAAATAGAAAAAAGTCAGGAGAGACAACAGTGACATTCAATGTCTGGAACTGTCGCCTGGCAAAATAAAGACCAGAGTATACAGTTTATTGATAATGTACAAAAAATAATCCCATAAAATATTCACTTAGTATCAAGGCTTTATTTGTCTTCCTTTATTTTATATTTGTGGCATTATTTTCTCAAAATGAAACACAATGTATGACAGTTTGTAACACGATGAGACCTACCTTAATATATCTTTGTTTTCAATTAGTGCTTTAAAATAATCAGCTAGTTTCTTCTGCATTAAGGCGAGTCTCAACCAAGCACGACCTCTACCTAAATTAGTCCTGTCAAATTAATAATAGTGAGTGTTTTGTAGTAGTGTGCACATCACATGAAAAATTAACAGAAAGTGAATAAATGATGGCAGGGGATCATATCACTTACTTGATTCCAGGAAGATTTTTTACACTGTCAATAATTTCAGATGCTTCTGGCATAATCCTTTCTAGGGACTCCAAGGGAGCCCAGAATTCTTTCTTTTTATCTAAAAATGATTTTTTCCCTGAAAAAAAAAATGACATTGCTATTGAACCATACTAATCTGGTTATACCACAAAGGTCAAGGGTCAAACAGAGCACAATAACAAGACTGAGGTCAAAAGCAAAACAATGAAACAAACGATCATATAAAAGAAATTATATACAGTTTAATATAGCATAAACATTTTTTTATGATAATGAAGTACCAATTAAGGCCTCAGAACATGTATAACAACTAAATTTTGTTCATAAAATAAAATGCTGTGATATTCCCAAAACACTGAAAAACAAATATGGTGATATGTGTAAAAGGACTGACCTTTCAAGCCATGTCCCATAACATGTTCCATGAGAGCAAAGAATTGCTGTAACGGCTGGTGATCACTATCCAGTGTTCTTCCTTCTTCTAAAGCTGATTCTATCAAGCCCTTTATACACAGTTTAGACATATTCAATAAATTTGTTCTCTCCACTAATACAGGATCTAAGAAAGAAACATAGAATTATAAGTATGTGCAACCTATTTAAAGAGGAACATGGGAATTCACCGAGAATGTGAATGAAATTGGCTGGATAGTTCAGGATTGATATACCGAAAAACTTAAAAGTGAAACAGATAAATCAAAATAAAATAAGTGAGTCTCCTATACCATGCTCAAATCTGTTTTTTTTTTTGCCGACATGAAGGGATACAAAAAACAGATTTACATTGGAAAGACAGATGTGAATTATTATGCCAATCTAAAATGGTGGAGTTTAAACCAGTATCAGCACAACTATTATGTAGTTGTTATGTCAGTGTTAAAACAGATGAGAACACACTAAATTGGCATAAGGGGATTAAATATGGCAGGGGTCATGTGATGAAATAGACATACCCCTTGTGCAATCCCTTCATTATAGCACTGGTTGAATGTACACATCTTCAACAGTTCTTGAGATATTATATTTATGCATAATTATGAGGTCACATGACATCAATTTATGCAAATTTTGCAATTATTATGTATGGATTTCTACCTTAAAGTAATCAGGTACATAGATTAACTTAGAGTATCTATGTACTACGTTTCATATGCATAAGGCATGTACCCCCGTTATTTGAATATCAAATCCAACTTTGATCTGTGAATTACCCCCAAAAGTAGCCAAAATTATGAAATCTGACAAGTAGATGGAGTACAGACAGGGTGAACTTAAGACTCAGAGTGTGTTTTGTACACATAAACGTAATCTAGTATATATAATAGACGACTGTGTGTGCTATGTGTACAGAAAACATCACTGAGATCATAGCCCTGAATTATTCAAAATAATTAAAAGTGCCACAGCAATGGTTCATATTTCATTTTTGATTTATTATAAAAATCTGAATAACGACAAGAACGGAATAAAATTCAATTACTTGAGCACATTGTGACATAATTGACTTCCACTCTTAACAATGAATTAGAATCAACAGATCGGGACACACCATTATTACGGGGGTGGGGCAGTATTCTTTCCCAAAAACATGGCTATTCAGATCTAATTGTATTCAAACAATTTTTAGCAATTTCCCAAATTTTCAAAAAAGCAAATTTATAGGTATGCATGTAAAATACACAAAACATTTCAACTGATATACTGCCAGTACTAGTTTAAACCAGTTTTCATCACCTAGTGTGAAAATACGAATCTGTCACTCGGCTATATAAAGTCACCTGACTTAGCAGGCCAATCACAACTGACTGATAATTGAAGTATAAATATGTCACTATGATTGGCTATATAAAGTCACCGACTTAGCAGGCCAATTACAACTGACTGATAATTGAGGTACAGATATGTCACTCTGATTGGCTATATAAAGTCACCTGACACAGCAGGCCAATCACAACTGACTGATAATTGAAATATGAATATGTCACTCTGGTTGGCTATATAAAGTCACCTGACTTAGCAGGCCAATCACAACTGACTGACAATTGAGGTACAGATATGTCACTCTGATTGGCTATATAGTCACCTGACACAGCAGGCCAATCACAACTGACTGATAATTGAAGTATAAATATGTCACTATGATTGGCTATATAAAGTCACCTGACTTAGCAGGCCAATCACAACTGACTGATAATTGAGGTACAGATATGTTACTCTCATTGGCTATATAAAGGCACCTGTCCAAGTGGACAAATGATTGAATTGAATTTTACTGAAATGGACAAAAACCTAAAACTAATACGTAATGACCAGAAACACATTTGCTGTTACTTAGCCAGAAGATTCTGCAAAGTCGAGGCTTATCAGATTTTAAATTTCACAAAAGCACTTAAAAAGATTTCATAAAATTTTCGATGAGACTGCTCTTAAAAGTCATCCATATTGATTGGATTCAATATCAGAGAAGACAGACAGAAAACATAAAATTACTTCCATTTTAGAACAAGAATGTTTCATATACATTTGTTTTTGTGGTTAATGATATTTTTTTTTATTTATGTCAAATATCTAGGGGGTTAGAGTAAATACAGTTAGATTATTAATAATTCACTGACTACCATTGGTACATTTAATCCAAGAGTATGGAGTAGGATTCCATGAATAATAAGAAATATTATAACTCAGATATAGAAAAAAATTAAACTGCAAAGAAAAAAATATGAAAGAAAAAATTTCTACAGAGACAATTACAGAATAAATATTTATTTTCAAGAAAAAAAGAATAAATGTCAATAGAGAATTCAATAAATTGTTTTTTTATTAGCATTAAGTATCAATTACAGAAAGCACGATATCACATTAGCAACAATGAAATACCAGAACACACAGTAACAATATTTACATTGCATGTAGTTTTCCTCAATATAAATTCAATGGATTTTTTAAAATCAATATATAAGTATTTTATTTTACAGTTTAATCCAGAATAGCAGCAAAAATAAAACACATTTTTATACAACTCTTTCGACTATTAAAAAGTATAAAATCTACTTTTCTATTCATATATAAACATTTGTAAAATCAAATCTCACTAATAAATATATATAGTTCTTGAGATCTGAGTTAAAAAAAAGACATTAATTAAAAAATAAAGCTTTCCTATACATTTGAACATTAGTCTAAATTTGAAACAAAAAAATATCTACATCTTGTCTCAGAACAAGTATTTATAATCTGGCAATTGAAAGGGGCGGACATACTAATCCAAAAACTGCATTATAAAATAGAATATGTAAACAATGTTCACAAAATTAAATTGAAAATGAGTTACACTTTTTTATGCATTACCCTAACTTGCCTGTTAGACAATATTTTTTATTAAATATGAAATCCCCAACTGAAATAACAGATGATTTTTAGATGTTGAACTACTTGTTGAGTAACGTTGAAGATCATATTATTAAACAAATCGGGGAATATATTCATAAATTGTTTGAAATTAGAAACAAAAGTAAATTTGCTTATTCATACTTATTATTATTCATATTGTATTTTATTATTCTTTGTTGTTTTGTTATAATTTTATTGCAGTCAACTGATGATTTATTACATAACTTCTAAATTTAATATATTGTTAGAAATTTAATTTTTTGATTTGCTATTTCTTATATTTATGCAATTTTTGTATCCAAACTCAAGTAAAGAGCACATCTCCATAGCAACAGAGAATATACAACTTGGCGCATCGGTTAAAGTTTACTAAAGTTTACTCACACACAATCATAATCTGTTGTACAAGCTATTATGTATCTTAGGTGGCCTCATGAATTTATTTGCAACCAGACTCACTCATGTTAACCTGATTGATTTTTTTTTTCACTTTTATTAATTTTTTTCATTATTTTGATTTTTTGACTTTGAATACAACGTTCGGAAGATACGATAAATGTGACAAAAAAGACTGTACATAGGTATCATAGTTGTATGGCAAAAAAAAACCAGGGTTACCAGCAATAGACCATCTTTGATCTGATCATAAAACAAATAATCATGCACATATATCGCTACAAGCCAGATGGTCATCTTAAATCAAAAAAAACAAAAACAGACACGTAAATTCATTTGTCACACGTTTGCTAAACATCAGTGAAAATGTACACATAGTAGTATGACTCAATAAAAAATGGCTGCCAGTCAACCATCTTTGATCTAATTTTGAAACTAATTGTCATGAACATGTATCCTACCACATTTATAATAAAAAAGTGTCAACGATATATTTTCAAAAAAACAATATGGCTGCCAGTAGTAATTTTTTGATTGAATACGTAACAAAGCTTTACAGGCATGTATCTCAATATGTAGAATGTATGTAGCAAATTTGAACAAAAACTGACAAAGTGTGTCCAATAAAAAAAAAAGGCTGCCAGGCGACCATCTTTGATCTGATTATGAAATAAACATAGATATATATTTCAACACATACTCCAGTCATTTTTGATTTGACAAATTGCCTTGGACAGTTGTATTTTGTATCCTCACATGTATAATGTATGTACCTAATTTGAATGAAAACAGACAAAGCATGTCAAAGATATAGACAACCAGTCGGCCATTTTGAATCAAATCACTAAAGCATCGATTTGCATATATTCCACAGAAGTGCTATATGCCAAGAATAATCGGACTCAGTTCAGAGGGTTCTGAAATTTCACTCCGGATGGACTGCTAGAGATCGAATTACCGGTACAACTTCCTGTTTTTGAACTGGGACTAATTAGGTCTGAAAGATACAACCTTGTTACATCAGCTTTTTTAGGAAATATGACAGACATCTTTTCAATAGGTTTAACTGCATTTAGCAATAAAAATCATTCCAGCATTTTTAAAGAAATTTATAATTCTGTGTAGTTAATACATCAGCAAACTGAATGTAAAGATACTAGACAACAATTCAAAATAAGGTGTGATAAAAACGCAAAAAGAAAATATGTTACGACTCTTACTCTTGAAATTGGTGATAAATACTTGCATAAAATACAAGCATATTCCATTTTTTCACGCAACAACAATTGACCATTTTCCGTTCACTGCGAGAATCACGCATTATGCGTGAAATCGAACGTAAAAACAGGACAAACAAAGGTCATAGCGTCGTAGTCGCGTCAAACATCGCGTGGGATTCGACAAACGCGAAAGTATTTCGGGGACATTTCCATGCTCAATAATGTGCTGCCCACATTTGATGACAGGCAATTTTGATTAAGTAAGCCTATTCGGAAGCAATATTCCTCTGTCAAAGATCGGCCGGTCAATGTAAAATACGAAATAAAGAAATTCTAGTTCAAAATCAAATCGTTCGATTTTTGCGGCAGACGTTCGACGCGCGTCCTTCATGCATCTCGCGAGATCTCGCAATTGTACGGAAAATCACCTATTCATATAGAGCATTGGATTTTTACATGTTTCGACTTAACAGTGAATTATTTTTAGCATCATATTTGAAATACCGCGCTCGATGCGAGATGACGGGCGAGAAAATTGGGGTCTGTAAAGATG